TCTTACGAAAACCACAGATTTTTCAAGATTTTCACAAAATGCTATTAAACGGGCTTCGCGCGCGCATGTCGAAATCTGTCGAACGCCCTTGCGCGTGTGCCGTCGCGAGAATCCTCTGCAAAAAATGGGACGAAGTGCAGACGCGCGCGTCGTCGCGCGCGTATGCCGAAATCCTTCAAAACCCATCGGTTTCGGAAGGATTTCAAAATCGTGTGTCCAAAAAACCTACAAACACCCAAGGTTTCGCAACACTTTCAACAAAAGCGTGCGCGCGCGCTCTTGCGTCGTCGTCATCGTCGTCGTCGCCGTCCTCCCTCCTCCCGCGTCGTCGTCGTCGTCGCCTACGTCGTCCTCTGTCTTTCCTCGTGTTCGTCGTCGTCGTCCTCGTTGGCGTCGTCGTCATTTCCGTCGTCGTTGTCGCCGTGGTCGTCCTTCCTCCTCCCTCGTCGTCGTCGTCGTCCGTCGTCGGCGTCTCGTCGTCGTCCCTCCTATTTCGTCGCCGTCGTCGTCGTCGCCGTCTTCCTTCCTCCCTCGTCGTTGTCGTCGTCGGTGTCGCCGTCCTTCCTCCTTTTTCGTCGTTCGCGTCGTCGCCGTCCTCCCTCCTCCCTCCTCCCTCGTCGGCGTCGTCGTTGTCGTCGTTGTCGCCGTCGTCGTCCTCCCTCCTCCCTCGTCGTCGTCTTCGTTGGCGACGTCGTTGTCGTCGTCGTCGTCGTCGTCGTCGCCGTCTTCGTCGTCGTCGTCGTCGGCGTCGTCGTCGTCGGCGTCGTCGTCGTCGTTGTCGTCGTCGTCGGCGTCGTCGTCGTCGTCGGTGTCGTCTTCGTCGTGGTCGTTGTCGTCGTCGAAGTCGTTGGAGACGTCGTCGGCGTCGGCGTCGTGGCCAAGTGCCATCTGGTACCCACCGTCACGGTCTTGTCTTAAGAGGTATTGCGACCAAGTTGCGGGTGGGAGGGTGGGATGTTTGCACGAGCAGTGGAGAGGACAGTTTCAAGTTGAGCGAGGGATTGATTGCACCACATAGAACGTACAACATGGAATGCACAAAATAGATTGCATCACGTGTGTTGTATTTCATTTTATACTCCACATAGATAGCGCCACAAAGATTGCACAACACAGCATGCACCACATTGCTTCTCTGTTCTAGGAGAGTATTAGGTTCTCCCCCCCCGGATTAAAGGTACACCTCTTCGAATTGCAATTTCCAAATTGGTTCTGCCCCACTGTCCAGTTCTATCCTGAACTCAAACCATCCCAAACCAAGCGGAGCTCGTTCCCCCCCTCCCCCATCCTCCTGCACAAAATACGATGCGCGCGCGGTCGTTTATCAAAAGTCATCAGCGTGAAAGCGTCCGTTGCAAAAAACGGGACGAGCGCGTCGTCGCGCGCATGCTGAAGTCTTTGAAAGGCCTGAGGTAAGAATTTCAAAATCGAATGTTCCGACAACATACAAACAAGAACATGGTTTCGCAAGAAGAATGTTCAAGAAAAGTTTGCGCTCGCACTCTTGCGAGTTTTGAAGAAAACTATCGGTTCTTCAATAATTTCATAAACATGCTATCGAATGGGCCCTTCGCTCGCGCATGTCGAAATCGATCAAACGCCCTTGCGCGCATGCTGTCGCAAGAACACCTTTTGCAAAAACGGGACAAAGTGCACACGTTCGCGTCGTCGCGCGCGCATGCCAAACTCCTTCAAAACCTTGGATGTTGCAAGAGGAAGAAAATGGACACGAAAAAAACGCTGCGCTTGCACTGTCGCGAATTCTCCAGAGGACTAGTACGTTTCTCACCATGTGCATTAAATTCTGCCAAACGGGCCTTTCGAGCCGCATGCCGACATCATTCGAACGCCCTTGCGCGCGGGCTGGGGGGCACGGTCCGTGTCAAATAATTCCATGCGGGCCACTCGCGTCTCGGCCGCGCGCGCATATCGCACTCTTTCCAAAACTTCATCACCGACGCGAAGACGCCGTCATCGTCATCTGCGTGATCCGCATCGGCGCCGGAACTGGCCGTACCGCATCATCTTCACCAGCATCGCTACTATTAGCATCGTGTCTGCCGTTGTCGACATTACCATGATACCGCGCCGGCCCAACTGGCTGACTCGCAGGGAAGTGCACAGAGGTCAGCGCAACTGCGGCCGCTTCGGTCGCGTCAAGATAGTTGGCCGCTGCGCGTGCGAGGCTGCGCGGGCTAACTCGGCCGCAGAGATGCACCAGCCACACCACGCAGCGATCGCAATCGCAGCCGCATGCATTTTGCAAAACAAGTTGCGGGCGGGCGGGTGGGATGATTGCGCAAGCAGTGGAGTTGACAACTGCGAGTTCCACATTTGAATTGCCTCACATCGATTGCACCACGTTTCCAAAAAAAGGAAATAGGATCTACCCCCCCCCCCCTCCCATTGTATCCCCCCCTGAGGGTGTGCGAATTACATATGGTTTTGCCCCACAGGGCGTGCACACTAGCTTATGTCAAAAAGCACAAATGTTTAAGACCATATCGCAAGAAATGATCAATACAAACGCGCGCGTCGTCGCTTGCGCATTCCGAAATCCCTCAGAAGCCGTAGGCGCCGTAAGGATTTCAAAATCGAGTGTCCCAAGAATGGTGTTGCACCATGGTTGTTCAAAACAAGGTATGCGCGCGCCCTGGCCAATTCTTACGAAACCGTTCTTCTTATATCAAGTATGTATCAACTGCAACCAAGCGGGCTTCGCGCGCGTGCGCGTCGAAACCATTCGAACGCCCTTGCGCGCGTGTTGGGATGGCACGATCCCTGCCAAATAATACATTGCGGGCCACACGCGCCCGTCGGCCACGCACGCTTGTCGAAATCCGCCCAGAAACTTCATCACCATCACTTGGACACCATCATTATCACGGGCTTGATCAGCATCGGCGCCGTCATTGGCCTTGCCGTCGTCGTCATCGTCGTCGTCACCAGACCAGCATCGTTATTATCATCATCGTGTCTGCCGTTGCCGACGTCGCCACGCTACCGCGCCCGCCCGAGCTACCGACTCGCATTGGAGTGCCCGCGCTTCATCGCGGCCTGCGAGACGCGCTGGGAGTCTCCAGCGGTCAGCGCCACCGCGGCCGAGTCGGTCGCGCCAGACCAGCTGGCCGCTGTGCGCGCGAGCCTGCGCGCGCCAGCGCGGCCGCAGGGGTGCGCCAGCCAGCGTCAAGCAGTCGCCGCAATGGCCGCCGCATGGGTTTTGCAAAGCACGTTGCTGGCGGGTGTGTGGCATGACTGCGCGAGCAGTGGAGCTGGCAACTCCAAGTCTGGCAGGGCGAATTGCACCACATAGATGGCACCACATTGATTGGTCGACGCAGGTCGCATCACAGAGATTGCACCACACATTTTACACCAACCATCCCACCAGCGAAGTTGGGGATAGGCCCTTCGAAACCCGCACGGAACAGCCCACATCCCCATCTCGGGGTGCACATCGGCCAGCACGGCCCCCGGGCCACGCTAGTGGGGATGGTGGATCGGTCAGACGATGCTCAGCGGTGTCGCGCCGGGCCGTCCGTGCGTCCGCCGCGCAGCGCCCGACAGAGGCAAGGAGGAGGACCTCTGGACCCCGAGGCCCCATCTTTCTGCGGCTCGCTTCGAGCCGGGCCGCTCTGCGATGGGCCAGGGGCCCGACTCTGGGCAAGACCGCCCGGCGTGAAAGAATTGCAACGCCCGGATTCCAGGGTCCAGATCGAGTTGTGACGGCCGTGGGTCCCGAATGTTGGGCGAAGGCGCCCGACGTGGGCTTGGCATCGTTCGGACGTGTGCATTTTTCCTTCGGCGAGGACCATCGAGGAGCATCCTTGACCATTTGGCGAAAAAACCACGCACGAAACCGAAAAAAACACAGGGAATGGACGTCCGAGCGATGGCGAGTGGGGGAAAGTTGCAGCGCCTGGATCTCAGCGGCGTCCGCCGCGCGGCGCCCAGACAGGGCGAGGAGGAGGGGCCCTCGCGTCGGACGCGAGGGCCCTGTCAGTTCCAAGACGTGGATGCTGTAGTGGCCTGTTCGACTTGCAACACGTTGCAAACGGCTGCAAGATGGTTGCCACCCATTTGCAGGGCGTATTCACGCGTGCTGCAAGTCCGCCCAAGTGCTCGAAGTCCGAGTAGGTCAGGGGCTCAACTTGAGGCATTGCAGCGCACTTGTGAGAGGCTGCAGCCACTTGACAGCTGTCGCAGGTCACAGCGGTCACCGCAGTGGAGACACTTAAAGGTACCAGTACTGCTACTCCCCCAGGGCTCTCCCAGGTTGCGTTCTGACCAGAACTGCGAAGCGAACCCAGCGGTGGCGACGAGGGCCTCCCACGAGACCCAGAAGGGTGAAAACGAGGCAAGGGTGTCGGTGCTGCCGGCCCGAGGTATGAGATCGAGGTCGGCTTGTGGAGGGTTCTCTCATGTTCTTCGTGTCCGTTGGATACACTTGTGCGTCCTGGGGGAGGGCACCTCGTGTGATCTTTTGGCTGCCAGCGGAGGGATCCATGATCTCGAAGGATGCTTTGTTCTTCTTGGGCTTCAGTCGGGCATGTCCCCCTCCAGGAGGATCACTCGAGAATCGTGGAGAAGTAGTCCGGTGAAGATCTGTCGTGATCTTCTGACGCTTTGCCATTCTGTTTTGACTCGTTTGGCAATCGTCTTCCAGGCTCCGCTTGTAGGAGGACACGCCCGACCGAATCCCAGGTCCGACCGCAGCCCACACGCGGAAGGCAGAAACAAAAACCCTCCCGGAAACGGAAGGCAGGAACAAAAAAGAAACGTTCCCAAGGGGTAGGGCTGACGCCTGCTCCTCCTCCCCCTCCCGATCCGATCTCGATCCTTCCTCTCCCCTCCTCTCCCCTCCTTCTCCCTCCTCTCCCCTCCTCTCCCCTCCTCTCCTCTCTTCTCCCTCCTCCCCCTTCCTTGGGTTTCTACTCCTGCTGTGCGACCTCCCGGGGGCCGCGGCGGGCGCGAGGGCGCCGCCCCCCCCCCGCCGAGAGGCTGCCCGCCTCCGCGCTGGCGGCATTCTCCGGCGGCCTCCCCCCGGCGCTCGCCGCCGCGCCGCTGCTCCAGGCCCCCGGGGGGGGGCCCGGGAGGGGGGCGATGGGCCTGTGTTCC